TAACTTAAGTCAATATTGTATCAGATATTGAATTGTTAATAATCTTCTTTTGTTAGACAATCTTGCTAGAACAGCATCAGACATTGGATAACTAAGCAGACCTGGCTCTCAGAGGTGACTGCCATTACAAGCCAGCTGGACCAGCCACTGCTTAGCATGAGTAAATATAATACAGATGCTGGGTGTCTAGTCACATATCTGCTCTTTGGTTGGGTGAGGATAGCGTTCAGGGATGCTTTGTGTCAATGGTAGGTTAGGTCTGGAAAATGGTGTTGCTTATTGTGGGGCTCTGAAAATTTATGACGGCATGGCCTGATGAGCCCTCATTGGCTCCAAATAGCGGGTAAACATTATTAGCTCATATACTGAGCTTCCATATGAATGTCCTCCCTTTCTTTGGCACATTTAATTGTGTATTCGTGATCCCTTTGAATCCATGGATTGATATAATGATTAAAAAACATGAATCAAGTGATTCTTAAGTGTTTGTCCTATCAGTAGGTATGAAAAAATGACTGACGGCTGATCAGTTTATTTGATATATTATAGCTCTTTATGACAGCTTCACGATCCTTTAGTGACAGACACTTTCCTATCTGTGCCTCTGAAAGCAAGGTCAGCCGCTAAATGCCACATCAGGCATTGTTACTCTGCACTGTCAAACAGGAGCAAAGCGTTTAGCACATCGATTTTCCTCAATTTTTCTCTTGCTTAGATTGATCCTCATCTAGACGTCTTTGGGAAGTGATCAGTGCTCTTCAGTACACTTCAGTACAATTTTCAGCTCACAAATGCATCATTTAAAAGCTAGTATCTGTTTTTAAAAAGTAGCAGAAAACGCTGCCATGTACATGTCAGGCAATGGCACTGGGTCTATAGAGAATATACAGTAGGCATTCAATCCTAGAACATGTGCAGGAGCTATAAGCTTTCATTAATAGATCCTCTGTATTTGACACCTCTGTAGAATACGTTTGTAGTTAGCAAGGCTGTACACATTTAAGACCAAACTGCTTTAGCTAAAAAGGGCCTCAACCAGTTACATGGCAAAGCAGAGTCGCTTTTCACAGCTTTGTGCCCACACTGCACTGACAGCCTGGACTTATGTGTTTCTACAGCCTGTGTGTTCATGCACTGAAATGATATTTGTGCCTGAAAGTATATAGAATAAAATAAATAAATACTTGATTGGACAAATGAAAAAACAAATAAACATTAACAGATGATGTGCTTTAACCCACTGTCTTAATGCAGAAAAGGCAACATTAAAACATGCAAACATACCAGTAAGAGGGATATGAACTTATTAACATTTACTGCATTTTGTGCCCTGTTATGCAAAATCAGGAGGCTCCCTGATTGCTTGGCCTTACATAAAAGTGAGCAGATTATTTGCACAGCAAAGTGCCCTTTTTCCACATACACTACTCTGGGAATGTTTGTATGCATCCGTAATTTGCCTGCTGATGCATTATGCATAATAGATAATGCATTGTGTGCAATCCAGGCAGACCTTGCCTGATCCAAGAGCGGCATGTCATTCCAGTATGGTGTGATTGCTGGTTGAGACAGCCACCATGCATCACACCTCCTCCATGCAGTCACCCTGTGTCATAACAAACAATCCTATACAGTATGCTGTAACTTTACTTTTAGTCATTTTCACAACTTTATTCATATCTTTTGAACCCCCCCCCCCGAACTTCATTCATATCCTTTGAACCCCCCCCCCTTTCCGAAAAAGGTGAACTGAAATTCATGGGTGATATTAAGGACATTTTCTAGGGCTCACAGCATCCAACTGTTTTCTCCCAAGGAAGGTTACTTTTGGAAGGCAGCTCAAAGGTGCCATTCAAAAGGCAGGTTTGTGATTTTGAATGGACAATTTAGTTGCTCATTTCACCATTCAGCTCTCATTTAGAGTGAGCAGTGACCTGTGTCATATAGACATTGGATAGAGGTCAGGCACCGTCAGCTGTACTGCAGGGTGCTATAAAACACGAGTGGGGTTGTGCTTGTGTTGGTTTATAAAGACACAAGAGTGTAAACATGCCTACACACACCAGATGAGAGGTCAGAAGTCAGATGAAGTGATAAATAGAGGTTTGCTGGCTTTATTTACTGCGTCTCTTTACACAAGTGTGACAGCATACAGTAAATTCTGTATTATAGTGTTTCTGGTTCTGCACTACAGTAATTCTGGCCTCATTCTCCCGTTATGTAATAAGATAAGTGAGATGTAAGTAAAGGAACACAAGCCATCACTGCCATGTTCAGCCAGTTTTTATGATGAAAGCACATTTAAAAGAGTATCCAACAAAGTTATTGTTACACCTGAATGACTAGAGACATAGGTTACATCCTGCATAAATTTACCATTATTAACCTCCCTTATTTCATTCATCAGTAAAGGAATCAAAGTGGTTAATTTTTCAGAATAACCATGTGGGTAATAAAAGCCTGAATTGACATTTAAACTTTACTGGTTGTCAACAGCCCCTCTAGTGCCCTTCCTTTCACCAGACTTGAGTTTGGGCAGCGTGTCTTCTTGTGACACGGAGTGTTATATGTGCCAGGGCATTAGAGAGCCCTTCTTAATCCAGTTTGTCACACTGCTCTCTCTGGACTGGGGTAATTTCATGGTGTTGAACTGCTATTGATAGAGGCCTGGTAAATGAGGCACGCAGCAATCGTTAACTCTAATAACCATAAAGATGTGAGCATTGGAGTCATACAGGCCCACGAGAGGAAACCCATACAGGTGATTAAGAATCGACCAGGGCCGTGGCCAGCAGCACCTCGCATCTCTTATTCATACTAATGGAATTACCTGTTAATGATGTCAGGACTATTACCACCAATGGTGCAATTATTGCACTATATCCTTTTCTTTAAACTGGAGTCAAATTACATGTCTCCTTGCATAAGGAATACTGGTCAAAAGCAAGGTGCAAAGCATAAGATTCTTTTTGTTAATGTCATTTCCCCCCTAGATTTTTCTTCATTTATCAAACTGTAGTAGAGCAGTATTCAGTATTCTCTAGAAGTGTAGTTAGATTCAGAAGTACGCTATGCCAGCAGAGGGGAAAAAACGGCATTGTGATTTGTGTGACTCCGCTATAGTAGAGTCAGTGGTTTCTGACAGTCAGCTTGAGCTCCAGAGTGTCTTTCTCTCATCTCCTCCCTCTCTCCCTCTCACCGACTTGGTCCCCCTCTCCTCATCCCTCCCTCAGGTTTGTGGTAGAGCCAGCCCCTACTATAACTTCTTTGTACACTTGTTTGTCTACTCTCATTACTGTGGGTGATGCTGCCTCAGGAGGAAAGTGAAATCCAGGCCACAGAAGAGTCAGTGAGAAACCAACCTGAAGCCTTCGCTCCTGCTGAGGTCAGGAAACCATATGGATCATTTCAGCAGGGTGCTGATGGGCACTTGATAAATGGTGAAACCACTCCAGCTCCAGATGCATCAGTGACACATGGGTCAAAAGGTTTTTTAGATTTGATAAATAATGGTTAACTGTCCCTTGGAGCATTTTGTTTGTTACTCTCCAAGACAGGTTGCACTATAAAATATCCTAAAGCTGGCTTTCCACCCACTTCTTTAGATGTGTTTTGCACTGAATGGTGCAGGCTCCTGTGGTAGCCTCCCTCCTTGAGGCTACTTTTTATTATTCATTGGCAGGAGTCAGCTCTCTGGGAAAGGGCTTCACAGTGAGAATGAGTAGCTGGGGCTCAAGCCTTACTGGACGATTTACTCTCAAACACCGGGAGAATGTCAGCACTGCAAAGAAGTCCAAACAACAAGAGGACTTCATGATGCTTTTACCACCAAACAACTCTTTCTCATAGGTACACACCAACACTGGCACCTCCATTCAGTGATGCATTGTGGTACATGCACAGAAATACTATGCACTATGCATGTGGTCCCTCCCTGCTTTTCTCTTACTCTTGCTGGTTCACACATCACCTCCATACTACAGGAGGTGTGATTTACAGGGCATTAGCACCACAGAAGTGATATACTCCACCATGAAATTATACTGTAGCAGTGAGGTCTAATTCTAATTTTGCTTCACATACCATTCATTTTAACTGGCAGTGTTACAGAAGCAGAGGAATGTGATTAGTCAACGAGGGTTGTGTAAATTGTGATAAAATATATAAACCGTATCAGCTGCCAAGAGGAAGGACATGAAAAGTTGTTCCCTGGCACTGCCTCTAAGGCCTCCATTTGGAATCCACTCGACAGTGCTTTGTAGGGTGTTTAAACATTAGCCTAAGCAATCGGGGGGAGTGTTCATGAAGTTCCAGCTTGATGTTTAAGTAATGAAAAGCAAACTTCTGATGAGCATCATTAAACATATATGCAGGGGGACAGCTGGCCCACAGCCACTTCAGTGCCTGTGCCTCTTGAAGCTGATCATTAATATCCTCCTTTTTTCTACCCTCAAATGTGACAAACATAAAACTAATAGAGAAAGAATGGAGCGTTTTAAATTCTGGACATATCCTACAACTTCTCAGTTCAAGATGCATTTCATTATGTTGAAAACTGTGAGTCATAAAAAGGGGTCATTTTAATTATGCATTATGACTTAAATAACACAAAAGTTGACAGAAATTAACCGGCTCAATAAACAATCTGCCGCTTAATAAAAGTTTGTGGGGCTTTGAATTGACTTCTCTGGAACAAAGTACAAAGTAACTTCCTTCTCTTGCAGAAAAGCATTAAGTGCGGGTGAAAGTCTCAATTTCTCTTCCAAATGTGCATCATTTTCAGCAATACTTTGAAATGCAGCTCTCACTCTGCTTCTTGAATAAGAAGCGAGAGCCAAATTTACATTTCTTAGCTCTACACATGTCTGCATTTATTCACTGATGGCAAATAAACACTGACAGCATTTACTGACATAATTGCTGTTGCCACCTGAGATGTAAATTGACAATTAGCAGCACTAAGACAGTGTATAGCTGTGAGTTAAATAGCAGCACTGGGGAACAACAATAACCGCACGGAGAAGGACGGATTGTGAAGAAAGCTGGACTGTGGTTGATTCAGCATCTTCCTGGCTGGCAAAACAAAGCAGGCACTCCAGTGTGCTAGTGGAAAAGAGTCATTTTCACCTGAGTATGCACTGATTAAGTTGTTATGAAGAAACCTTGAAAAGCTGAAGTTTTCCCGGCTGCCGTGTTCTCTTCCTTGGCCATATGTCATTACTTAATAACTGTAGCAGTCAGAGAAAGCGAGAGAGAGAGAGAAAGTTGACATAAATGCTTGACGGTGGTGAGTCAGTGATTACTGCTCTCGGCCACTCTGCATAGATTATAGTTGCTGATGCTGACACTGAGCCAAGGTGTAGGGGACGCAGTTTGTTTTTCTGTGGTGACATTGTCATTCCACTTGCACTGACTGGATCTCAGTGTCAGAAAATTGCCAGCTGTGGTGAGATCAGAAAGAAATCAGGTGCCTGTAGCATATGCTCTTTGTCACTCAAAGGTTGAAAAGAAACTGTCTCCTTCATTCATGTGAGCCTGGAGACTTTTGGTGAATAAATTGTCATGGGTTACTGTGACCTTGAGTTTATACATGGGTTTTAAGAATTTTAGGTTTACCGGCCTAAATATAAGACCGGCTCACCACTTTTCAAGCACCCGTTTCCCTGAGATACTCCTAATCCAAGGAGAGATGAGTCTCTTCTGTGCAGGCTTTCCCACATAAATGTGAAACATGAACTAGTACCATTAAAGTTTAACATATCTGACATATCGGTCACATACTGACACACTATTTTGCCAAGTTTTCGGAAGCACTCACAATTATTTTTTCCAGCGTTTAGCCTGTTTTCAGACCGTCATTATGTTCTGTGACCGTGGTAATTCTGATGCCAGATGATTCTGTCCATGGTCCGTTTCTGCAATAAAGACAACAGGAGATGCCATGAAGTCATTTTCACTTGTCATGAATTTATTTCCTCGGTGGCAGAAAACCCCCACATTGACAAGCATTCCGAAAGTCCTGTACGTTAACATGGGCTACCAAAACACGTTTAGGGCTGAATAGAAATGTATTATAAACATCTCATTATGGTCATACTGAAGGACCCATGGCCTTGCAACATTAAGGTGTAAAGTGTCCATTCAAAAAGAACATCCGAACATCTGATGTTTTGAACATATTATTGTCTAGTCCTCAAATATACTGTAGGATGAATAAAAAAACCTTCTCATATTTGGACCAGTATGGTACATTTATGTATGCTTAAAGTGTAATTATGCAAAATGTCTGATAACATTTCCCACTTGTCAGATCTCAAACTCACCCTGACCTGCTGCTAACACTCTAAGCTTGAGTTTTTTTTTTTCCATTTATCTATTTCCAGATTTTACAACCATCCTTCATTAACAGCTCCTAATTGGCTGTTGGGCTAAAGTGAAAACAATGAAGCATTGATTTCCTTAAACATAATCACCTCATCTAGTCATTTAATGGCTGCTGTCACTGTGGGCTGCTGAGAGAAAAATGACCACTCACTAGTCCCATTGATGCCCTTCACCTCCTCTAAAGGCTAGAGTGCACAGCTTTACTCCATCTTAGCAGGCTGGTTTAACCCCTTTAGCTGTCTGACAGGCTCCAAGCACTACATCCATCACTCCATGCAGTCATGTCTTAAATTGTTATAATCCCATGGCGTACCAGAATGTTACCACTGTGCACGTGAGCAAAAAATATCCATTGTAAAACACCACAAGTTTGCAAATAAACAAACCCACACATACTCAGACGCATAATGGAAGGTCCTTTACCTCACCCTGAGCATCCATCTACCTGGATGGGATTATGTCTAGTCCAAATGGCCATTTGTCATCTAAGTGGTTCTCTGGACTGGCCCGGCAGAGTCATCGTGAAGTCACTTACACTGCTCCCTCCTTCACATACCAGATGGTTCATTGTGATCACATCTAATGTCCACCCAGAAATGTGTTTGTCCATGGACAACTAGATTGGTAGTGGTGGTGGTTGGTGGGGGGGGGGGGGGGGGGGGGTTCCCAAATTCCACTGGCAATAATTATAATAATCATGCCAAAGTTAAGAATAATCATAAAATGTTCTGTCCGCATTAGATTTATTCAGTCAGAAGTTTAAACATAAACCACATTCACAATATTCCACTGAAAAATCGTTTTTAATAATCTAGTGTTTTTACAAGCTTTAGTCTGACAGATAATTTATTATTGATTATTACTAATGATTATTTTGCCAATCATACCATATTTTTGTACATAGTTTTGTTTTTATGTATTGTTTTTTAAAGTGGAAACAGGGGAGACAGAGGAAAGGACCTGTGACAAAGGTCGCCAACACACACACTATGCCTGGGTATATGGTGCACCACGCTGTAACCATTTGGCTATCAGGGCGTGCCAGCCCATGAATATTTGATACAAAAACTTGCTTTTGTCTCATTGAAAACCCAAACAGTTACAGATCAGGAAAAGTCACACTCAAACAAATGATATGCATATCAAAAGGGCTACGTTTGTCCCTCGTCAGATGTTTGCTGGTTACACTTCTGTAGTGCTAACCTCCAAACAGAGGGAACAGAGGGAACTCAGACCAATTCAGTATTTATGATGCAAAGTAAAGTTCGCACTTTTTCAGAGATATGCTTCAACTTGAAAGCAAGTCTACAGGTTGGAAGGTGTCAGTAAAATATTCAACAAGCCAACGCATTGTGGGGTTTGGGGTTTTAGCACACGCAAAGGAATTTTCTCTTCACTTTTGTAGTCTGTGTTCTGCCTCCTCCTGCCCAGAAACATCTAACAACAAGCACTGAGAGAGTGACATTAATACTACACGACAGCACGGCCCAGCAGGACTACAAATGTTTGGCTTTTAATCCAGGACTCGGCCTTTGGTCTGGCCACAACAGGCATTGATGGGAATGGGAGAAGAAAACTGTTGCCAAACTTCTCTGGGCTACTGGGAGCTCAGCTTTGTAATTCATGACCTGAGCCATTTCAAGCATTTGCACAACCAGTCCAGCCAGAGAGACACACACCGGTTGTTGTCATGTCAGTGGAAGTAAATGCTTCTTCTCACCGCAGCAGGATATCCTCTTTAAAACTTGGTACAGCTAAGTGAAATAATACACAGAAAAGATGGAATGTGGTATTTGGTTGTTTTTACACTATTGTTCCTATACATCAAGGAGGATAAGTTCTCCTCTCCTCACCTCTCCTCTGTCCTGGTATGAGCTCCAGTTTAATTGTGGGATGCTGGTGTCTGTTGCAGTGGCTGTCATGGGATGATAAAGAGTTTTTCCTGGGGCACAAGGAAAGGGGAGAGTGGTGATGGAGGGGCTCTCTCCTGTAGCTCCGCTGGCTGCATTAGCCCCACACTTTATAATTGTGTGAAGGGGGCACTTCCAGTGACTCCCTCATTACTCACAGGCATGGCCAGTCCCTGGCAGCCAGACGCACCTTGTCCTCTAGCACTTTCTTTCTCCACCCGTCTTGCTCATTTCAGAATTGCCCCTCCTCCTCCCCTGGACAATCCTCCCCATTGTTATTTTGACCCAGCACCACCAACGGCACATTTCACCTTCTCATTTCACTGGATTTTTTTTGGCTATTTCCCTTTGTCAAACTGCGACCTATTGTACAGCACTTGCTCTGACTAATGTCACCTATGTTTTGGAGTTAATGCATTAGTATAGTATAGCCCAAATCTGTATTGGCTCAGTCCTGAGATTCAAACATGTCATCCACCTACAGTCACAAGAAAAGGTAAAGGCACTGTTTGCAATTTGCTGGTTTTCTGTATACATTGGTCATGAAATGTGATCTGGTCTTCACCAAAGTCACAAATATCAACAAACACATTATTTCTAAGCTGATAAAACACAACAGTCATGATCTTTCCTGTCTTTATTGAACACACCCATTAAACATACTAACTGATGGTGGATAAAGTAGTGGCATGAAAGATCATGACTGTGTTTTATCAGCTTAGAAATATTGTGTTTGTTGATATTTATGACTTTAGTGAAGAAAACCAGGAAAGTACAAACAGTAGTACAGTACTTTATCTTGGGACTATAAGGTTCACGACTGCCAGGTTTTACTAGAGGAGCTCAGTCAAACGAACCATCCTCCTAAATCATACAACACATGGAAAGTATCAAGGGTGCAAAGACAGGCACATTAATACTAAATATATTGTGTGATGTTCATCATGGACTGATTGGTGTGGTGTGAAGACAGCCAACACTGAGCGAGAGGCAATTAGATTATATAATTAAGATGCCTCTAGGGCCAATTTGTTACACATACTCACACTGTAAGTGCCCAAGAGGAGGCAGCGTGCCTCATGTGATATGATGTGAGGTTGTCAAGGTTCCCCAATCTTTTATTCATATTATTGTCCTTCCTTTGGATTGTTACAAACATTGTATAATGTACAGTATAGTCAATGTCACATGTACTGACTCTGTGTTGCCCTCTGTGTTTTTCTGCAGAGGGTGGTACATGTGAGGTGATTGCCGCCCACCGATGCTGTAACAAGAATCGCATTGAGGAGCGTTCGCAGACAGTCAAGTGCTCCTGTTTACCGGGAAAAGTGGCTGGAACAACACGCAACAAACCCTCCTGTGTGGATGGTGAGGACATCTGATGGGTTTTAACACTGTGCTATTGCTGACTATTTACACGTGAAGTCTCTTTTGAGGAAAACTTCTTATATGTCTGATTATGTACAAATTACATCTGGCACCAACATTCAGTGCCATCATAGGACGTCCTATGTCCTATAAGTAGAGCAGAGGAACCTAATGGCATAGTTATCATGTGCAGACAGGGATGCTGACATAAAAAAGCAATTTAATATAATCTAGGTACACGGAATTATCCACTACTGATGTTCTTTTCTGATGATATATTTAGTAAATAGCCTTCACTAGGTGGCAGGTGGGGCTAATTTACGGACCTGATTTTGAAAACACAGGCTAGGGAAGCTGGAATCACAACAGAATCACTGTAGGTACCAGACTGTCATCGAGGTGGGTGGGATAGCAGAGATACATCACGTCCTGTCCCGTCTTCACTTGTTTTATCAGACAATGTGTAAAATTAGTTTGCTAGTTAATTAGATAATGTACTGTTACTTAAAAATGTTAAAATGCAAGACCTTTACATCTTGCGTGACATTGCTACTTCTGTTTAAGTAAATGATTTGAATACTTCTTTTATCACTGAAGATTACATATTCAAAATGTAAGATGGGATTATCACTACCATTACATTTAAAAATGTTTACTCTTCATGTGCTTTTGTACAAATGTCTGACCAAGGCCTACACATTCCAATATAATTTCTTATGCTGTCTCTGATTTTCCTAATAATAAAAATGCATTCAACCATTACGAACCCCCAAGTAATGTGCTGCCCTGCATCACTGGAGGTAGAAGATGATCCATTTGGGCTGCTAAACACCTGAGCAGGGAGTATGTTGCAGATCACATTGCCCAAGGCAATTCAGGCTGGTGGAAATGAATAACTAATAAACACAAGTCAGGGAAGCTCTAGGCCAGTGCATCTGAATTACTTCACCTGAGAAAAACAATCAGAGAGAGGCAGCTCCTTGAGAAGAAAAAAAGTTGACAAGTCTGCTGAGACAGAACTGCAGAGCACCGTTCAAACTACTGCTCCTCAGTCTCAGTCTTTTCACCTCCACCATCAACAGAGATTAAAGTCATCTCTCTGACTGCCCTCTTGTAAAGAAATGACACCAAATTATCTTCATTATGAAGGACGTTACACAAAGGACCAGACAGGCCTGCTCAGTGGGATTCATGGCATTGGCTAGCCACAGCTGACACTCAAGAAGATCCTAGAATATGAATTAGATAAATCATGCATGACAGAAAAGAACTTTCTCCTGAAAAAAATTATCCAAAACCCTATAAAATGTGAGACCCTATAAAAGTCCTTGAGACATTATGTTCAAAAACATATTTTTTTGTTTGCCTTCTTGGTGGAGACATCTACTGAATGAATCATTTACACAGCTTTGACTTTGAGATGCAGCTTTTTTAGCAGAATGTGTTGTCCTTGTACAGAGAGGCAGACAACCAGACACTGTCTCCTGAACACTGGACTCCTTTTATATTCATTCAGATATGTCTTTTTCACTAAACCAGGCCTAGACAAAAAACATCAGACTGTGACTTTTTTTTTTTTTTTTGCCCACTACTAAACCAAGTTACCTAAATGTAATATAAAAGGAGAATAGAAGTTGGTGCGTCAGGTCTTTTTTACCTCAAGATAAGTAAAGAGACCGTGGGTAGGCGTTTGACACAGCTATACAAATCAAAAAATAAAATGACATGGACTAAGGCACAGAGGTGGAGAAGGAAGAAATGCCAATCTTTGCTGTTAGTGTATTGATTAACAAGCACTAATTGAGGCAGAGGTGGTAAAAATGATAATGACAAGTCACTGAGCAACAAGCTAAACTGCACTGCACCACACAGAAAGAGTTCAGGGGACTGGGCATATAACAGTAATTTAATTTCCTTTAGCTGGAGCATTTCCATTGTCTTTTGGATCATTTTGACCTACTTTAAAGTGAACTGGGCTGTCTATTTCGGCTATTTAACAGTAAAACTACCCTGGGATATGGAGTGAAGGGCAGACAAAATAATTATGTGATTAATAACAACAGCTCATTTGTAGGTGGAGATGTCACACATTACAAACAAACAGTTTCATTAAAAGGAACCTTTTTAGTAAGTGTGGAAATAAATGGATACGGGGGTGGGAGCACTCCAGTTAAGAGATTTTGATTGTCTAGGAAAAGCTACACCTGAAAGTTGTGTGTATTTGGCAACCGCACCCTGCAGGCTACCGTTGCTCTGTGTGAGGGATTATAGACTTGTGGAGTCAGTGGTCTGTCCCCTCAGCAGTGCACTGGCCTGCCCCAGATGGAGCTTTCTCCCCAGGACCTGGTGTTATTAATGTTCCATCTAGATGAGGAATGATGCTGCAGCCCAGCTCATCTCAACAGCTCCTCGGGGACACCTGCCACCACTGTACCATATACAGGTTCTGCCCCCCCCCAAATATACATAGGTATAAATATTTTTAAATAAAGAATAGACAGTGTATATTCAGAGGTCATTTGGTTTGGACACACACAGAGAGCCTGAATGAACACTCCTTTATCTTTAGCCAAATTTTCAGAAACAGACATTCTCCCTGATGTGTTCAATTATTGGTCATTAACATCAAACTACACATCAAAGCACATTAAGTTTAGTCTCGCTGTCCGCTGTTTGCTAACTTGTGAACACAGGCCACGTGAGGTCATTTCAGTTGCTAGTGGTAACCGATTTGGATGTTATTAATATTTGGGGATGTGATGACAGCTTGTGGTGGGAGGTGTCATACTCAGTGGGGATTGCTGTCAGATTATCCCTATAGTGGGAAACGATTATTAGATTTGACAAGGAGAACTATGTCCCAGTTATGTTAGGCCCAACAAGGCTCTTAGTGAAGGCCATCCCTTTTAACAAGTCAAATGCTCGTATCTCTCCAGCCTTGCCGCGCTGATCGCGTGCACTCAGATTAGGCACTCATCACTGCACCGCTGCCTTTATCCCAGTGTATGAGACATGTAAGCCCTCAGCCACAGTACGGACAGATACACACATACATATGCAGTCGTTTCCTCAACACATGCATGCAGATGCCCTATATGCACACATGCTGCCATTCTGTGTTGCCATGTAGCTGCTGTAGCCATAAAGTCTTTCAACAAGAGATGCCCACTCGCTGCTGATCACTGATGGGGAATGAACCCTTCTGTCTGGCTGCAGGCACACATAGCTGAGTGTGGCAGGTTGTCATGGTACATCTGAGATCCATCCAGGGGGACAACACACATAGATGCTAGTTGAGGGGAGGGACAAGAAATGCTACAGTTCCTCCACATACATGACTGATCAAACAGATGCATGATATGAATGAAAGCAGCATATCATAAGCATGCTAGAATATGATGCGCAGCCTGTTATGGTCTTAAAAACATTATTGCCTCATTACAAGCAGGGCCATCA